TGGAACCCATGTGGACTGCAATGGCAGGCAGGTTCTTTACCGCACACCACCTGGGAAGCCCAGGGCTTTACACAACTGGCGCCAGATAGCCAGGGGATGTCTCCTCTGCCTGGGAACTGCTGCCTTTTTTGGACGCTGGGAGCCCAACTCACCGAAGTTCCCACCTCTTCCCATTCCATCAACCTCCGTCCTGCTGCTTGAGGGCGGAAGGGGAAGAGCACTGATTTGGGGGCGGTGGGGGGAGGCAGGCATGACTTGTGCCCGGGCAGTGCTGCCCCTGAGAGCGCCACGTGCACTCTCGGGGCCTGGGGGGAGAGGCTGTGCACCATGCACTTTTCTGGGCACGGAGGAGAGAGAGGAGAGAGCAGAGCTGATCTGAACACCTCGCTGCCTCGCTCGGACTCACACGCCAGGGCACCCCCACGGGCCCCGGAAGCGCCCTCTGTCTCCCTAAGCTGTGCCCAGCAGCCTCCGCCGGGGTGGGCTGCCGCGGAGCCGAGTGCAACAAGAACAGTCCCCCTCTTCTGGGGTCACAGGGCAGCCGGGCCCGAGGTCACAGCCCCGGGTCAGGGGGCACCCTGGGAGGTGGCAGAGGTCCTCCTCCGTGGGGTCCCTGGACGACATCGCCCACAGCGCCCGCAGCCACGCCCAGCAGGCTTGACCGAGCCCGGCAACCAGGTCCCCAGAGGCAGCAGCCACAGGGCGGGGAGGGGATCGCAGGATGCCCGGACTCGGGCCGATCCCCCAGCTGCGGTTTCCCCTCAGCCTCCTCCTCCGTGGCATCTGTACCCCAAGGGGCCCCTCGGGAGAGGCGCTGGGGCTGAGGTCCACGGCCTCTTCTGCACTCGGGGTCGGGCGGGAAAGGAGGCTGAAGTGGGGAGCAGACAGTGTGGGAGTCGTGAGCAGTCAGGCGGCCCGCGGCGAGCCAGGCCAGCGGCAGGTTCCCATGGCACCCTGACTGGCAGCGTGAATAGCTAACCGCGCCCCAGACAGGTGCTGGCGGCCTGGCCTTAGGAGCGCTCGCTCAGGGCCCAAGGTGATTCACTTCCCCTGTGTCAGCTCCGGCAGAGTGAGTCAGCGGAGCTTCGCACCAGCTCTCCCAGCTCGGCTGAGGAGCACACACCCCTCCCTGTGCACCACCTGTTTCCCAGGTCTGCGGGGCCCCCTGCGGCTGACTCCCGAGGTTCAGGGCAGACAGCATCCCTGGTATCCAGCCTCCAGCCCTCCATGCTCGGGACAGCTCAGCGAGTCACGACTGCGACCCACCAGGAGTCCAGAGAGACAGCCCGACAGGTGTGCCTGCAGGCCCGAGGACCGGTGAGCCGGCGTCACCTCTGACTTTTGACAGCCGTCTCCAACCTTCCCGACCCTCTTTGGAGACAGACTAGAGGTGGAAAACTCCAGAACTGGTGAACCAAAGGGCGAAAGCATAAGGCGATGCCAGCTTCCCTCTGCGGACCAACAGGGACCGAAGGTATGAAAACCGAGTCCCATGGCTGTTAACATGCTTCCTACTTCCTACGTCGGGGGAGGCAGCGCTGGCCACCGAGGCCACGATTCTGGAAGCAGGCTCNGTTGGGGAGTTTTGTTTACCCCTCACCTCTCAGGTACGGTTAGCTCAAATCACCCCCGAGGGCTCCGAGAGTTCGGGCTGCAAGCTGTCTGCGCTCCACGGAGCACTCCGGACTTTCCAAACTGCGTCTTGAGACCCACTGGTTGCCGCCGCAGCTTTGGCTTGACCCCTGAAGGGGGCGAGGTGCTTTCCCCGCCACACACACGTCCCGCACATCGCAGCTGCGTCCCTGGCCCCGAGTGGACTGAGGCCAGAGGGGAGGGGGCAGACTCCACCCCTGGCGGCTGGCTCGGGGGACCGCGTGAGTCATGAGGCCTGGCCGGTGACCGCGATGTCCCGGGGTGAAGTGGGAGGCCTGGGGGATGCGGCCTGATGCAGGGACCAGAGCCATGGTGACTCAGACTGGGGCCCCGCGGGGAAGTTCCGTCGCCGCGTCCTTTGGATGGCTCCTGTCACCCCCCCTCCCCTGGTGAGGTCATCCCCAGGGCCGCTCAGAACTGGGACTCGCTCAGTTCTCTGCGAGCGCCTGGCTTCCCTCTCAATCACAGTTATGGCAGGAATGATCATTTTAGCATCCGCACCTCTCCACCACCCACCACACACACACACATGATGGATGGACCCAGGCAAAGAGCCTGTCCTCCCCCCAGGGCATCAGATTTTTCATCTGTAAAAACAGGTCTTCCTCCTGATGATATCACGCAGGGGCCTCCGGGGCTCAGAGGCAGTGAGCAGACTGCTCGCTGAGAGGAAGTCTGCTAAATCCATGCGAGTGGGTGATATTCTAATATTACTGCTTGTGACTACTGCTCCACAGACCTGGCCACTGGGCCATCTGCCTTCATCTCGCCGGGCCACTGGGTCTGGAAGTAAAGGAGTCCAAGGTGATGGGTGAGAAAGTGTCTCCAGGGACTTCCCTGGTGGTCCAGTGGTTAAGAATCTGCCTGCCCAGGAAGAGGGACACGGGTTCGATCCCTGGCCCAGGAAGATTCCACACGCCGCGGATCAACTATGCCTGAGCGCCTCCAGGACCGAAGTCGTGAGCCCTAGAGCCCAGCTCTGCCACAAGAAAAGGCACCAGGGTGAAAAGTCCCCGCGGGGCAGCTAGAGAGGAGCCCGGCTCGCGGCGGCTAGAGCAAAGCCGCGCAGCAGTGAAGACAAGCGCAGCCAAAAGTAAGGAAAAGCAGCGGCTGCGCCGTGTCGGCTCAGTGGTTGTGGCCCATGGGCCCAGCTGCTCTGCGCCACGGGGAACGTTCCCGGACCAGGGATGGAACCCACGTCCCCCGCACTGGCAGGCGGACACACACCACCGTGCCACCAGAGACGCCCGATGCCTGCGTGTTTGGGTTTCCTTCCGATTCAGGTCAGCAGAGAGCCCCGACTGCAGCTCCCTGTGCTCTACGGGAGGTTCCCGTTAGTTACCTGTCTTATCCGTGCTGTCAGCAGTGCGTGTGCTGACGCAGGTCAGTCCCAGCCCTGCGATCTCTCCCGTTTCCTTTACTTCTCCTCCATCACTACCAGTCTCTGCTGGCCAGTCTGCGGCCTGCCCGAGTGACCCCCGGGGGCTCCCCTTGCAGGGATGAGGCACGTCTGACCCCCGGGCTAAGTCCCAACCCCAACATGAGGGCCTCTGCTGAGTGAGGCGGGCACAGATGTTGAGGCTGAGTCCCTGGGGCGGGCTCCCAGCCTGCCTCCGCTCCGGCTCCTGCCGTGGCTCCCAGCGCCCTCGGGGGGAACGCCCACTCCTGTCCACAGAGTCCAGGCCGACTCCTGCTTTGGCCCTGACCTTGACGGAGCTGCTGCCCGCAGACGGCTCTTCCCGCCTCCGCTCCCCCAAGTGTGTGCTCCGACATCAGCTTCTCAGGGAGGCAGCTGCCCTATTCAGGGCCTCACCCTGCCCTCCCCACCCAGCCCAGCAGCACACTCGAATGTTCCTATTGCTGTTTCTTGCCACAATGCCATCACCTCCTTCTGTACTAGATAATCTACTTATTTACTACACCTGCTGCTTCTTACAGACCCTCCCCTGCCCCGCACCAGAAGGCAAGCTCCGTGAGAGCAGGGTGGTGTTATCTGCCTAGAACAGCCGTACCACACAGCAGACACCCAACAAGGATCTGTTCGATGAATGAATGAGTGAATGAACGAATGAACGAACAAAAGAGGGCATCATTGTCATCAGAATGGGGCAGAGAGGCTGTGCCTCTCATAGAATGAACTGGCATTCAGGCCGGCAGGGGCGGGGGTGGGGGGGCATCACCCAGGGAAGGCAAGGGAGAAGGCTGGCTCAGGCGGAGAGCTCTGTTCTCAGAGGCCATGCCCACAGCTCACCTGGAAATCCCCTGGAGTCACTCATTAACCCTGCCCCCCCCCACCGCCCACACACAGCCAGCCAGTCACCCGAGCCCAGACAGCCCCTAAAGCACCGTTTAAGCCACGGACTCTGCCTCCCAGGCCCAGCCTCCCGCCAGGTAATCCACACCACCGTCTGAACACCCCGCCGAACAAAACCCAACAAGGACGGCCAAAAACGGGGGGGGAAAAAACGAAAAACCCAAACCCGGCAAAAAAACCCCCCCAAAACCCCAACCGCCCCCCAAGCCCCAACAGGGGAAGGCAGGGCGGCCCGGTGAAGTCCCAGAAGCAAGGCGATGCGCCAGCTGTGGGGACCACCGCGGCCACAGGGTCCTCTGGGCGGGGGGTTTGGAGAAGGTGAGGCATACAGACGGGCACCTGGGAGACCGTGGGGGAGCACAGAGGCGGGGGTGGCGGCAGTTCGGTCTTGCACTGCGTGTGCGTGCTGTCACTTCACTTGCATCCAACTCTTTGTGACCCTGTGGACTGTAGCCTGCCAGGCTCCTCTGTCCATGGGATTCTCCAGGCAAGAATCCTGGAGCAGGCTGCCAGGCCCTCCTCTGGGCGATCTTCCTGACCCAGGGATTGAACGCACATCTCTTACGCCTCCTGCACTGGCGGGCAGCTTCTTAACCACTAGCGCCACCTGGGAAGCAGGCGACTGGGACAATTCACTGTCCCTCAGAATAGAAAGAGACCACAGCGCACCGGTGCAGGCTCTGGCTTTGCATCCTGGCTCCCCCGCTAAGTAAGTGTGCAACCTGGGCAAAATGATGGGGTCTCAGCTTCCTCCCCTGCAGGTTTGGTCCAGCATGACTGATCGGCTTGGCTTGTAAGAGGTGAGAGGGCGTCCATCTCAGTAAGAGCCCTGAAGAGTATAGCCTGGCCTGAATTAATCGTGACGACTGTTAGAATTTATCAGCCTGAGTTTCGGGACCTTCTCAATGGCTCCTGCCTGCCAGTCACGATGCGGGGCTGGTACCCAGGCGTGTAGGGATGCCCAGACAACCAGGTATGACATGAAAAGAGAAGAACCCCCAAAGCCAGAGAAGCTTCAGGGCTATGGCTGTACCTTGACTTCGGAGTGCGGCTCGCCTTTTATCTTGTCCTGCTTTCTTGGCTTGAAGCATCTCTTCAGGTCAGCCACAAGCCTCTGATTTCACCTGGAAAAAGAAGAGGAGATTTACACCAGGGAACAGGACCATGACGCTCAACTTCAAGCTTCAGACAAATGCCAGACAGTGTCCCAGGGACACAGGGGCTTCTAGGGACTCAATAAGCATAAACCTGTGTGGAATCAGAACGAAGGGAGAAATCCATTTCCTATCTGTCATGTATGTGGCAAACTGAGGAAAGCCTTCAAAAGAAATACAGGTTATCCACATGATAAACCAGACCGAGAATAAACAAGACACAGTGGTTGACATGATAGTAACTGTGTTCAAATTACGACGAAATTTATTTTTTTCATTTAAGTGTATTTACGCTTAATCAGAGGATGATTGCTTTACACTACTGTGTTCGTTTCTGCCTCACATCAACACACCCAGCCACAGGCACACACACGTCCCCTCCCTCTTGAAACTCCCTCAGACCTCGAGCCACCCCATCCCACCCCTCCAGGCTGTCACAGAGCACCGGGTTTTAAATCCACAGTTGACCTTTTCTACAAAGATGATCTGTGGCCACAGTCCTGAGTTGGGGAGCCTTTTGCTCAAAGATTCCTATGATGCTATTTCTGAATTTTCACATGTTCCCATCTTATGGTATGTTTGGATTCATTGAGTGAGATAACTCACCAGGAACACCTAGCCCTGTGCTCGGCCCCTAATGCGCACTCGGCAAATATTAGCTGTGCTTTTACTAATTTTACTCCTTGGTGGGTTTCTAGAGAGCAAGGCTATTCCACACCATGCGCAGAATTCCTGAGCAAATGGGCACAGTTATCAGCGTGGTTGCTGTTGCTGCAAAAAACTAGATATTTAATCTTTAAATTTGACCCCTGTAAATTCAACTTACTTCAGAAACCAAGAAGAGTAGTATTTCAAAAGGTGTTTAAAAATAATAGCTCTATTCTCAGCTTCCCCATCATTAGGCTCAAAGAAATCACTGGAGATCCTTAGGCTGGCAAATGAAAACAGAGAGAAGAAAGAGAAGAGGGGGAAACAATACCATCAGATTTGAAACAGAAAACCTGTAACCTTCGCTCATAAGAGAAAGCGTTGTTTGGGTGGCGTTTGGCTCCTCGCCGGATGCACACACATCATAGCGGGGCTTGGATCATGCACTCGTTTCCAGAGTTTCCGAGTTCCAGGGCCGAGCCAGTTCCCTGCAGCCACCGGACCCGGGTCCCTGAGAGCTCCAGCACCCCTCCCCCAATCCCGGGGACACATGTTTGTTGGGCGGGCTTCCTCTCCACACCCAGGAACTCATCTCAGGACCAACTTCCCAGGCGGTGTGAGTGGTAGAGAACCTCCCTGCCAATGCAGGAGACGCAAGAGATGTGACTTCGATCCTTGGGCTGGGAAGAACCCTTGCAGAAGGAAGTGGTAACCCCACAAATGGGCACCCACTCCAATATTCCTGCCTGAGAACCTCGTGGACAGAGGATCTGTCACTCTATCGTGGATCTAGGTGGGCTATATAGGATCTGGTGGGCTATAGTCAGTGGGGTTGCAACTCACACGTGCCAGAAAACTCATTAAAAAGAAGCATTAAAACAGCAAGATGGGGCTTCGAAGCTGAGCCACCTTGGAATGGCTCACTGGTGATGAATTCCCCTCCAATGCAGGAGCTACAGGAGAAGAGGGTTTGGTCCCTGGGTCAGGAAGATCCCCTGGAGGAGGAAATGGCAACCCACTCCAGCACTCTTGCTTGGAGAATCCCATGAACATAGGAGCCTGGTGGGCTACCATCCACGGGGTCCCAAAGAGTCAGACACAACTGAATGACTCAGCACAAGCACAAAACAGCAAGATACTCTCCAACTCCAACCCCAGTGTCCAGAATGGATTCCTGTTCCTTAGTACTTTATGCAAAGCCACCCCGATGCCCCACGCATGTTCAGCTTATTAGGTGGAAAGCATCTGATAAACCAATCAAGCTCACACCTGGGTGAGTGGAAATGAATCCAACTGGCCTTCCAGGGGAGATGGGAAATGTCACACAAGTGGATCTAAACTTACCCTGCCCCCATGACATCTCAGTCCAGCCAGGAGCAGATACTGGGGAAGGAGGGAAGGGGACCCTAAGGGAGGGGGTCTTCTTTAAATCCTACGGTGAGATGAGGCGGGGACTGAGGGTCCCCAGACACGGCTGCTCACTGAAATCACCATTCCCCGGCCCCGGGAAGCTGGAAAATCACACTGAAACCTGGGTCCCATCCCCAGTGGTTGTGATGGGTCCCGATTAAGGTCCTGGCACTGGGTTTTTAAAAAAAGGGGTTTTGAAGTTCCCAGGAATCTACCTAAGGCCAACACCCAGTGGGCACAAGTCCAGGTCTCAGGACACTTTTAGGGGGGTTGCAATTTCTTTTTAAAATCAGAAGGAGCTTTGACAATAATATTAATGCCTACAAAACAGTGCATCCAGCCTGGGTTATAGCCACCCTTTTATGAAGGCATAAAATATCATTATTATTTGATTGGCTTTTACAGGTAGGAAGGAGCCCCCAAAGATAAAAGTACCTAAGGTCACAAGAATCTTAATTCAGCCCTGAATTTACCTATTTCCTTCCAATTGCCCAACCCGCCAGTCTTTTTCTTCCCCCTAGATTTAAACAAGTTCTCTGACTGAGGGGTCAGTTTGCTAGTTTTGACTCTGTTACAAGCATCAGAACCCTACTCTCAAATAGAACGAAAACAACAAAGGAGATGGAACTTTTTGGTGCACTAAAAAGTCCAGCTGTGTTTGGCTTCAGGCAGTCAACCTGCCAGGCTTCCCTGAGACCCTCTGTTGAATCCCCCCCCTGACCCCCACCCCAGCCCGAAGATTCTCCCCCAACTGCTGCTCATGGGCTCGCCCCCGCCCCGACTTGGGTGGTTCCACCCCAGGAGCACTGGGCTTGATTCTCAGCAGGCAGATGGCCCAGTAGCCACCTTCTCCCCTCCTTGTGTGGAAGCAACATCGCCTGGCAGGGCAGAGCAGCACCTCTGAGGTTCAAACACTCACCCTCAGCCCCTAGGGTGTAAGCACCGAGCATCCACTGCACCTAGGCCCAGAAAAGACAGCTATATCATCTGATCTGGCAAATCCATACCATGAATTTGAGTGTTAGATCCACAGGAAAAATTAACCTAGATCTTTACTGGGATTTGTCTCCAGGTTAGGATTAAAGTTTCCTTACTTATTTCTTTTAATTTTCTTGCTAGTCTTCCCTGGTGGCTCAGATGGTAAAGAATTCACCTGCAATGCAGGAGACCCAGGTTTGATCCCTGGGTCGGAAAGACCCCCCTGGAGGAGGAAATGGCAACCCACTCTAGTATTCTTATCTGGGAAATCCCATGGACAGAGGAGCCTGGCGGGCTACAGTCCATGGGGCCGCGAAAGAGTCAGACACAAGTGAGTGACTAACACTTTCACTTTCATTTATTTCTTTCCATTTTCTTGCTGCGGGGCGGGGTTGGGGGGTGTGGAAAGTCCTTTCTCTGCCTGCCGCCCCTAGTAAGCCTCTTAGACACCATCGTTACGGTATTTCTGTTTGAGCACTCTGCTGGTCTCCATTTCACAGGCTGATCATTGGTACTAAATTAAACCATGTGTTCAGCTGCCTAGCCTATTTCCTGGCCTATAGTAAGTAATAAATAACTGCTAGCTCTTACTACTATTGTAAAAAAAAAAAAAAATTACAGAACTGCATAGGTTAAGAAAAAACAAATCTGGGAAAAGAAAGCAAAGGTTACCAGCTGTCATCTCAGGTTAAGTAAGTTGATGGGTGATTTGTGTTCTCATGTTTGTGGGTCTAAAATGAACAGGCTTTGTTTGATAGAGAAACAAAATGCCATGGTGTTTAAAAACTAATAAATGTGCAAGGGATATTCATCCTCTTGAACCAGAAATACAACTATCTATGCCATTAAAAAAAAAAAAAAGAATGAAAGTCAAGACAGAATTTGCAGAATGGCTTGTGAAATCAAAAATGAATTGGAAATTGGTGGTCGCGGCTACTAGCCTGATCCAAAGTTTGGGGTTCGAGGTGCAATTCGGCAAGGGCACCCTGGGGACTCGCTCGGCCAGGGTGAGCCCAGAAGTCAGACAGGCCCGGAAAGTCAGGGCCTGGGGTTGATCTTAGAGGCAGCCTGAGATGTCCCTGGAGGATACGGTCAGCGCTGGCCTGGCCTGTGTATCTGACCAGGAGTCCTCGCCCCACTGACAGGCTACAACCCCAGGGCTCAGCAGACCTGCTCTGTGGCATTTTCCGAATACCTGCACTGTCACAGACAGAGGGCTCCCTGACGGCATCCGCGTTTCAGTTCAGGACCTACCACTGCCCAGAGACTGTTACCCAACCTCCGGCTGCAAACAGACCCCGGCTCCATGACGCAGCTTGCAGGGGCCGACCTGGAAGCAAGAGTCTGCTCCCCTCTGCGCGCCTGGCTGAGAGGGAGCGGATGTACCCCGGTCGGCACCCAGGTCCAGTCCCTTCCTCCTTAAAGATCCCCTGAAACCCTGCACCTAACCTTTTTCCCTAAGCCCAGCTGCCCACAGGGCAGGCTGGTCACCGATTGCCAAGTCATCGACAATTCTCGAGGACGAATGGGACCTCTTCCATCCCCCTCAGCCGGGCTCCCCTGGGGAGCTCCTCACTTCAGTGAATTCAGCTTCACTCTCCCCATCACCAAGATGCACAACCCTGCCCTAACGCTGAGTTACTCACTCCAACTCCAGCCGGTTCTTCTGCTAAGGTTGTTCACAGTCCATCTTCTGTTATCTCCCCATGGCCATGATAACCTCAGGTCCAAAATGTTCCCATAATAAAAATGTCATTTATGGTCGATTGTGTCCCAGCCCTTCACATGTGGTATTCCCTCCTCCGGTATCCCTTCTCACCGCGTTCACTATCCTTCACCTCGTTCCCTATCCCTGGCCCTAGTTCTGGGCTAGAAAGCTCCAAGCTCTTTGGTGCCTCAGGGTCTTTGCACCTGCTGTTTCCTTAGTGGAACCA